TGGATAAGCAAAATCAAAGATCTCACTAGCAAGATATAAATTCAGTTCACTTTCATTTATAGGGAAGGTAACCAGCCTGCAAACTGGTTGGCCCAACTTGTATCACACTCTAATGAGACTGAAGTTGCTGTCAAGCCTCCACCTGCTCTGCTTTATCTGCTACAAGGAGATATTCTAAATGTACCTCACATCAGAATGGTCTACAAAGATAAATTATTAATGTGGGGGCAGATGCAATCTCACACTTATTTCCTTCTGTTGAGTCATTGTAGTTTTTCTCTTTTTTTTTAGCGTGACACCTAGCTTTTCTTTTTTTTGGGTGGGGAGGGGGGATTTCTTGGGTTCCTGTATTGAACCAAATAGTGAAGTCCCCAGCCCCCTCTCTGATGTCTGTACTAGTCCTTTTTACTTCAACATGTAGGGAGTCATAAGCAACTCCTTTCACCAAATATATATATATGTATATATATATATATATATCTGTAAACTTAGAAGTATATATATGTAATCCTTTACATAGTTTGAAGATAAGGAATAGCCAAACTATCTCCATGTAAAAGGAAAGTTAAATGGGAGGGAGGAGCAATTCCAACTGAAATTTGTTCTGTATTCCTTCCCATGGAAGCCAAACAATGTGCAGGACCATTGCCTTCTCTATGTATATGGTTTAATTTCACTCTTCCACTGTTTAAGAAATGCTTCAATTTGTTTAACCACCTGAGAATATGCCAAGGAGGAGCTTCTTCATTTTGCAGTATCCTAATACAAGTGCTAGAATCAGATTCAACTATCAAGTGGCTGATCTTACATTGATAAACAAAAATTATAACCCAATAGACTGTTATCATCTATGTCTCCAATGCATCATAAGCCCAAGTTAGGAAAGAATAGTACAGAATACACTTCCCTTGGGAGTTTATAAAAAGTATCCCAAAACCTGAGGACTCCCTAGTAAAGCTTCCATCAGTATTAACCTTTTGCCAACTTGATGGTGGAGGGGTCCAAAGAACCAAAGCAGGTTTGAAATCTACTTAACTTTTTCTCCAGACACCCAACTAGTAAAGAGTTTGGAGAATTGCTAGTGTTTAATAATTTTTTGAATATAGGAAGAGCAATTGAAAACCTCAGACTATCCCACAGGCTTAATATTTTCAAACTTGGCTTGGTTTCTACACATCCAAATAAACCAGGCAACTACACAAGGAAGAACCATCAAGTTAGCTTCTTTCCAATCCTTCCAGCAACAGATGAAATTATGCCAGCTGACTTTAAGAATATCAATTTTTAGTTGTTTCAACAGTACAAACCAAATCCTTTGCGAAAAATTACAAGTGCTCTAAACTTTCTTTTTCAGCATTACATAGGTAACAACAAGAAGGTCCCCTTAGTCCTTTAAGTTTCAAGATATCATCAACAGGAAGTAAGGACTGCCACAATCTCCAATAGAAAAAAGACATAGAAGGTGTTAACCACTTACCTCAATTTGCTTTCCCTCACAAGACTGGTTGCCATTAGTAGAATTTTCGATATATATAAGCTGAAAGTTTCTGTGAGGAAGCTTATTTGGTAATAAGTTTGTCTTTTTGATCTGAACAAATGGAGGTATTATTTACCCATTGAATCTGTTCATTATTTAAAATGGTATTCAGCATTCTGCAATTCCATTGATTATCAGACCAATACTCTTTCAGTTGAGTTAGATAATTGGGCTTTGAGGTGGAACAAGTCAGCTTTTCCCTATTCCAAACATACTTGTCTAACCAAAAATTGATTTTTCCTTCTCCTAATTCCCACATAAAAAGATCTTCAGCTTGAGTTCTGATATCCAGTAATTTAGTCCAGAGCCTGGAATCCACCAATTTTTTTATGACAAGATTACGGTATATAGACCTACAGTACTTCCCCTTCATTCACTGTGCCCATAGGCTATCCCGGGCCCTAAATTTTATCCATAATTTACAAATATTTATAAATCTGAGGGGCTAAAAATTTTTAAAACCCAATCCACCAGCATGAAGAGGCTTACAAAGTTTTTGCCACGAGAGCCAATGGAATTGTTTATTCTGTCCAGCCCACAAGAATTTATTGAAAATTCTTCCCAATAAAAGTTGAGTTCCTTTGTTCATAGTGAACATTTGAATGGCATAAGAAGGGATGGCAGTCAAGTTACTTTTAAGAAGAATGATTCTTCCTCCATTGGAAAGGAAGGAATTTGTCCTACACTGCAGTTGACCTTTGATTTGATGAATAACATCATTGAATTGAGTTTGCTTGGTTCTTCCTCTAATTAGTTGTACTCCAAGATATGTGATTGGCAGTGGGGCAAGGCTAAAACCAGTGTACATGGTAATCCAGTGTTTTATTTGTGGGATAATGTTAGTATTAGTAAAAACTTGACATTTCTTTTTGTTAAGGTCCATATTTGAAGTATGTTGAAAATGCTTGAGTCCTTGGTATAGATTTTTTACAGCAGTCTTTGTAGCATAGAAGAAAATAATAATATCCTCTGCATAAGACAGATGACTAACAAAAATCTTAGATCTATGCTGATAGGACAAATAAGGAGAAGAAGCAAACATGTTGTTTAGAAGTCTTGTTAAATAATCCATGGTCACAATAAAGACTATGGGGGATAAGGGGTCCCCTTACTTGATTCCCCTAGAAGCAGTGAAGAAACCATGGCTCTTACCATTGATTAAAATAGAATGATTATTGTAATGGAGCCACCTACTGATCAAGTTGAGGAATTCCCCAGAGAAACCCCTAGCAGCAAGAGTTTTCATAATGAAGTCCCAATTAATTGTGTCATATGCCTTTTTGTTGTCCAATTTGAAAATAACATTACTACCTCTATATTTTTTGTCCAAATCTAATACGAGTTCTTGAGCCAACAAAATGTTTCAGTGATATTTCTTCCTTCAACAAATGCCACCTGATTAGTGCTGATGTGTTGCTGTAGATGGGGTTGAAGTCTTGAGACTATAATCTTGCTAATAACTTTGGATAGAACATTAGTTAAATTGATGGGTCTAAAATCCCCCCAGTCTTTTCTGAAGTCATTCTTAGGGATCAAAGTAATTGTGGACAAGTGAAATATCTTGGGCGATCCACACCTTTGAAGAATTTTTGTACAATAGAGATAAACTCTCCACTGATAACTACCCAAGAAGCCTTATAGAAATTGACAATAAAGCCATCTGAACCAGCAAACTTTTGTCCATCAATAAAATCCAAAGTTGCCTTAATTTCCTCCTCCAAAGGAATATTTGTCGGCTCTAACCTGCAGATATACTCCTAACAGTCAGACAAAAGCTCAGTATTAATATGGGATCTGGAAGATGGTTGACTATTGAAAAGGTTCTGAAAGTAGTTGACAGCATCTTGGGCAATTGCATCTGCATCAACTAAACACTTGCCAATAGAATCAGTAATGGATAGAATCATATTACATTTTCTTTTGAAATTAATACAGGCATGATAAAAGCTAGAGTTTCTATTCCCCTCAATGAATTTGGTAATAGCAGCCATTTGTTTCAAAAAGTTTTCAGAAAAATTAATATGCACAAGAAGTTCCTCATTAACTCTGTGTAGCTCAATTTCAGAATTTACTCCCCTTTGGAAACCTTTTTCCAAATTGAGAACCTTATTTTGAGTAGCAGTCAAATTATCATGAATATTTCCAAATTTATTCCAGTTCCACTTTTGTAAATGAGCTGCCACTTTCTTTTGAAGGTGCCACAGATTCATCCAAGGGTTAACACCACCATTAGAGCTCCAAACCTTTTCAATCTCCACAAGGAACTCAGGGTGAAGAGTCCACATATTTTGAAATCTGAAAGGAGAGCATTTAGGACTCTCATTATTTTGAATAGAATAAGGTAGGGAACTATGGTCAGAACCAGACATAGCAAGATGAGAAATTATAGTGAAGGGGAAAGTCTGAAGCCATTTAGAATTCCCCAACAATCTATCAAGCCTTTCCCACATTGATCCCCTCCTCCAAGTGAACTTTGGACCTTGGTATCCCAAATCATATAGGCCAGCATAAGTTAAAAAATCATCAAATCTATTCATGGATGACAATAAAGGGGGTTTTCCACCTCTTCTCTCAGTAGGAGAGGTAACACAATTATCCCCCCCCCCCCCCCAAATCTAGAAGGAGTTAATAGACTGACCAATCTACATCAAGTCAGTTCATAAGGTATTTTGATTTCTTGCAATGCTACTAGCATAGATAAAAGTGGCATACCCCAACTAAGCACCAATAGAGAACTAAATGTGGTTGAACTGAGAATGATTCTACAGAGCAGACCACTGTAATTTAGACATAACAAAGATCCAAATTTTATTATTAGAGTTGGCAAAATGTGTGAATTTAGGAAATTATTTTAAAATTTTGTTGGAATGCTTTATGACCAGAGGTTCCAAAATAGCAAACACCAAACTTTGTGAGTTCTAACTAGGTATATTAATCTCTTAAGAGATGAGGGGTGAGCTACACCCCTTATATTCCAACATAAAAACTTAAACATTGTGAAAAGGTTCTCCCTTTTAATCTGATTTTGGGGTACAAATCATTTGGCTGATTGGTGGAAGGTCCATCCAAAGATTGAACTTCCTGAATTTGTTTTCGCTCCATCTTGCTTTTCTTCTTTCTATTAATTTTCTGAACTTGCCATTCTTCTGTAAGCACGCCATTCTTCTGTAAGCACATCTGTTAAAATATTTATGGTTGGATCATCAACCTTATGAGGGTTAATATCCAATTGTCATTCTTCATTATAAACAACCTCCTTCTCTTTTTTTTCTAACATTTGATTGTCAATAGCTGTTTAAGTTTGATTAATACCTAAAGCATTCCCATATCCCATGGCAGTGGTCTGTATATCTAGATGAACCACCTTTTCAATACTTTTAGAGAGTTGTAGGACTCTTGTGTTCTCAAAATATTCAGTCCCCACCTAAAGAGCAACACTTCTAGGGCCCAGTAGCCTTCTTGGGGGGGGATGATTTCTTAACATTTCTCTAAAGTATACCCAAACATCCTACAATGAGGGCAATAATAAGGCCTTTGTTCAACCACAATGCTTTTCTAGAATCCATCATCTTTAGTTCCAGTCCAGACCCTATTCACATCAGGAAGTGTTATATCCCTTTCTACTAAAATTCTAGCCACAACAAGTCTAGCCAGGTTATAAGTTGGAGCATCCAACTTCAATGGACATCCAAGTACCTGACCAATGTAGAACAACACAGTTTGATGATAAAATTGAATAGGGAGGTTGGGTAGTCTGAACCATATGAGAACAATTGGAGGTTCTTTGCTGGGATCAAACCCTGGATTCCACTTAATTAACTTTATTGGAGTGCCATCAATCAAGAGAGATTATTTAGCCAAAATTATAGCGTAGACTTTTTCATTTGATAATTTGATTAACAGATGTCTACCATCCATCAAACCAAGCTTCCAGGCTCCAGTAAGGTGTTGTTCTTCAAATAATTTCCAAACATTATCCATCTTTGGGTGTCCAAACTGAAATTTATCAACTAAAGTGAATTTAATTGTATCATTAAGATATTGGATTTCCCCATGAGTGAAAAGAATGGTTGGTTCACCATCTTTTAAGCCTAGTGGATTAACTTAGGGAGAAGTCCCTTTTCCAACAGCTACATCATGAAAAGCCTAAAGGAAAACTAAATTTTTAGATGATTTTCGAAGATGCTGTCCATTACTAACAATACCAGCATAAGTAGCCTGTGTCCATTAGGCATTAAATTCTACATCTATGGGGAAATCCTCCATTGAAACCAGCAGATAGACTAGCCAAAAAAATAAAAATACAGAGCCCTGGAGAGTGATTGCCAATTTCTTCTAAACCCCAGTGAGAGCAGAAACAAAAAGAGTTCCAACTTACTAAAGCCAAAACCAATGTAACAGTAACCTCTTAACATGACAGCAGTATCTTCAAAGCAAACAGATAGAAGCAGCCACCTTCTTACCACGCTCAGCCAAGCCACTGGTACACCCTTAGTCAGCAGCACCAAACTCCACCACCAGCAGCCCGCCAAGAGGGATCCATCAACTCACAAACCCTAGCAGAGCAAAGCAAACTTCTACCAGCTATTTATATATATATATATATATATATAACCTAACTTTGCTCTGCTAGAATTTGAGATCCATGGATGCACACTTTCTTCTTCCCTCAGTTTCTCCCATCTGTAATTCCTCTAATTGCTATGCTGGGATAAAAAAAAGTGAGTTTGGCAGCTACTTCTTTGTTTGATGGCTGACATGTAATGATCCATTTAGCTAATGAAGAGGATTAAGCACACATCTTCTCTAAGAAGTTAACTAATATTGAGGGTAACCTAATCAAATTGCTAAAATGGATCCTTGAATTTGACCCTGGCAAAGAGCTGCCCATTATTCCAATTTTCTTTAAGCTTCTTGGTTCAAAACTTCATTTCTTTTACCACAAAGTTCTCTTCTCAATTGGTGCACTATTGGGAAGGCCTATGAAACTTAATATCTCCACTTTTAATTTGACTAGGCCTTCTGTTGCTTAGATTCTAGTGGAAAGGGGCATTACACTTCCCCCCATTGATGAAGTATGGTTGGGCACTAACCGAAATGGTTATTGGCGACCTATAGTCGAGGAATAAAAACCATATTATTGCTCTCACTATAAAATGTTTGGAAACACTGATAAAAAATGTTTTAGGCTCCATCCCTTTCTAAAATCTACAAAGCACACTCATTTGTCATCCAATGCAAACCTTCCTCCATCTCTTCCCCTGTAGGTTGATGACCCTGCACCAGTGGTGGCTACCGAGACTAGTTTTGAACCGACTGATCTTAGTGAGACACATTTGTTGGACCAAGCAGGTATTAATCTTGACATTTAAAAGACACATACCATTTCACTTATTAGGGAAGCTATGGTTGATTTAAAAGATCTTCCTCTATAAAATAATCAACCATGGGAACTTCAGCCAGATGTTCAGATTGATTCAACCATTCCAATTGTGGAGATGTGCGTGAAATGGAAGCTATTGGCAAATTTAAAAAGAAAATTGAAAAAAGAAGGGTCGGATTATGGGGAAGCCCACTTTGGATGATACTTTAATCATTGAAGCTAGAAGATCATATTCCACTAGGTTGATATCCCTAACTAGGCTCGCTAAGGGTATGTCCAAGCCCTCCCATCATGATTAACCTCTTATGTTGGAATATAACGGGGCTCCAATTTCTCAATAGAAAGCACAAATTTTGGTGTATGGCTATACTAGAACCTTTGGTTCATAAACACTGTACTAAAATTAAAAACTCCTTCCTTAGAAAAGAAATCAAATGCACCATATTGATCAATCACCCCCAATTCTTTCCACTCTCCTTTGACATGTCTGGCAATACTAGTTTTATTACAATCATCTTTGCAGACAACACAAAACAAGATAGAGAAGAGCTATGGTCTAACCTACATTCTCTAGGCGCATCAATATCTTCTTGCTGGCTAATTGGGTTGGATTTTAATAATATTGCATCTCCCATAGAAATAAAGGGTGGTCGGGCTCCCAATCTAAACCTTATTACAAAGTTCAATGATAATATTAAGACTGCATGGCTATTTAACTTAGGATTTAGTGGGTCTCAGTTCTCCTGGAGAAGGGGAAACACTTGGGAAAGGTTGAACAGGTTCCTTGCTAATGTAAACTAGTTTCAGTTTTATTTGCACACTATTGTTACCCATCTTAATTTTTCTGGATCTAATCATAGACCCTTATTACTCTCTTTTAGTGCTTATTCTAGTAATGGACCTAAATCTTTCAGTTATCTAAATATGTGGTCTACTCATCGTAATTTCCTCCACACCATAACAGCAAATTGGAAAGATATCTCTCATCCCAACCCTCTAATAATATTATGGTTTATGAAGAAAAAGATAAGCAAAATGCTTAGGAAGTGGTATTGGGACACTTTTAGGGATGTCTACAAAGTGGTGGATCCGGCTAAGCAAAACCAGATACAATTAGAAAATTCTAACAATCTGGATGAACCTTCTATCTTTGCATTTAATCAAAGGGTCCTCACTATCACAGTTTGGCTTGAAAGTTTCCTTAAACAGTAGGATGTGATTAGTAAATTCACTGATAAGGATAGGAATACCAGTTATTACCAAGCTTCCACCAAATATAAGAGGAAATGTAATGTCATTCACGGTATTGTGAACTTTCAAGGCAACAAACTTCATGAAGAGTCTGCCATTACCAATGATGTTATGGAATATTTCTAACAAAATTCTAAACTCATCCTCTTCTTAGAGAACCCAACTAGATGTATCTTTATTCCAGGAGAAATTAGATTATGTCCATACACTAAATCTAACTGATATTCCCACTAAAGAGGAAATATGAGAATCTCTTAACACCATTGATCCGAATAAAACTGCTGGGCCTGATGGTTATTCTTCATATTTCTATAAGAAGTGTTGGAATTTAGTAAAGCATTATGTGATTAATGTAATTCAGTCTTTCTTCAGAGGGAATGATCTCCCTAAATACTTTATTGCTTCTAACATTATTTTGATCCCCAAATCTGCTGACAAATACCATTGTCAACATATCAGACCCATTACCCTTACCACAGCTTTTTGGAAGATCATTCAAAAAATCTGGGTGAACAGATTGAAGCCTCATCTTTCCAAACTCATTAGACTCAATCATGTACTTTTATCACTGTCAGAAGCACCACTGTTAGTGTATTATATGAGCAATAACTTGTGACAAAAATAGATAGGCCTTGTAGAGGAGAGAATTTATTTTATATGTTGGATGTTATGAAAGTATATGAACTTAATATATATATCCTGGCGATCATATTCTCAGGTCAAAGGGTCTAAAAGGATCTGCAAGATGCCATCTGTGTTTCAAAGCTGAAGAATCAATTCCTCATCTTTTCTTTCAATGTAGGTTCACACAAAGGGTCTAGTCAGAACTAACCCAAGAACTGAAGATAAATCTCCTGTATCTCTATTGGGCTTCCCTCCCTCATTGCTGGACTAATTGGGATA